AAGAAAGAAAGAAAGAAAGAAAGAAAGAAAGAAAGAAAGAAAGAAAGAAAGAAAGAAAGAAAGAAAGAAAGAAAGAAAGAAAGAAAGAAAAATCTCCTGTGTACTAAACCTAATTCCTCATCTTCCAGGTAGCTTGCTTCTGGTTCCTAAACAATCTAAAAATATATAAACAAACCCAGTCTGTTCTGATGATTCTCAAGTGTTTACTGAACACTTCTGTATGTTTTAGTGTTACATCCATAAACTTGGATGCATATTTGGAGGAGATAAGGGAATAGGCCAAACATATGACATGGATCTTTCTATAGAGATTTAAGAGAATGCTTCTTAGTTAAGGAAACAAAACTAACATATGCAGCTAGCAATATACTGCTAAAGTAAGTGCTATTTGAGATGCAGAATGAAATTATTATAAAAAGAAGTACACATTAACTACTAGGGTTGTTAGGAAAGATTTCAAGCAAGACTTGAGGTAAGTCTTGGAAAATGGTTTTGGAACTATAGAGGGAAGAGCAATTTTAAGAGCTAAGAAGAATAATGCTGGTGAAGGCATAGAGAAAGTCAAGAAATGGTCATCACACATGATTAGGAGAAAACAGTATGTTTAGGTGGTAAAGTTCACATTTTTTTTTAAAGATTTGTTTATTATGCATACAGTGTTCTGCCTGCATCTATCCCTACAGGCCAGAAGGGGGCGCCAGATCTCATTACAGATGGTTGTGAGCCACCATGTGGATGCTGGGAATTGAACTCAGGACCTTTGGAAGAACAGACAGTGCTCTTAACCTCTGAGCCATCTCTCCAGCCCCCCACATTTTTTTTTTTTTTTTTCCCTGAGACAAGGTTTCTTTATGTAACTCTGGAGCCTGTCCTGGAACTCGCTCTGTAGACCAGTCTGACCTCAAATTAACAGAGATCTGCCTGTCTCTGCCTCCTGAGTGCTGGGATTAAAGGCCTGTGCCATCACCATCTGGCTCAAGACTGTCATTTTATGCATATAACTTGCCTATAAAATTGGGAAAGTATGCCAGGTGGTAGTGGCGTATGCCTTTGATCCCAGCGCTTGGGAGGCAGAGGCAGGCAGATCTATATGAGTTTGAGGCCAGTCTGGGCTACAGAGTGAGGAAAGGCTCCAAAGCTATACAGAGAAACCCTGTCTCAAAAAAAAAAAAAAAAAAAAAAAAAAATTCGGTAAGTACCATGGGGCTAGGTTATGGGAATATTGAAAAGCCAGGTGTAAGTTAACCTTAAAGAGAAAGCATAATCAGAGATTGTGACCATAAGAACAGAATGTAAAGATTAGCTTTTTAAAAGCTTGCCAGATGGAGAAGAATGAGACCATTAAGGCCAGTGAGGCAACATCAAAGGAATACAAGCATAATGGGATTGGTGTCAGGAAGAAGAGGACTACTATGGTTTGTATGCTGCCCAAATATCCATGCGAAAACTGCTGGGTCTCAAGTCTTTGGTGGTATGGGACCTGTAAGAGATAGAACCCAATGGGAAACTTTAGGTCATTAGGAACGTTCTGTGGGCTTCTGTTCTCTTTTGTCTCTTTGATGGCCTAGCCCAAAGAACAGCTTTTTCTTCCACACACTCAACACTGTAATGTGCCAACTGACCACGGACAGAAGCCTCCAAAACTGAGCCAAAGTAATCTCCCATCTCTCTGTCTCTCATTTTCTTTCTCTCTCTCCTTTTTGATATAGACCAGGCCAGCCTTTAACTTGCTATGTAGCTGAGTATGGTCTTCAACTCTAGCTTTTCTTGCTTCTACTTCCCAAGTGCTTAAGGTTACAGGCATGTACCACCACACCCTGCTCAAACTTTTTCTACTTACAAGTTGATTTTTCTCAAGTTTGGCTCAGTGATAGAATGCTGGCTGATAAATGGAAGGACTAGAAGAGAAAAGATTGAGAGAAAAAAATAAAACAACTCAAGACTGAGAACACTGGTACCAGTGAGTAACAGAGAGAGGGGCTGCTTTAGGAGACATGTTCAGTCACTGCAATGAAGATCTGAGTTACAGCCAATTCAAGGTGTCCAATAAGGGGCTGGAGTATATATGGCATACCTATACTGTGTCTTAACAGGAGAGAGAATCACCTGCCTACACAGGAAAGTTGAAGTCCCATGCATTGGTTTGAGCACTCCAGAACTGAATGCAAAGAGTAGAAAACATTTTCTCTGTCAAATACAGTGGCTCACACTTATAATCCCAGCTTCCAGGAAGTAAATGAAAGACAACTTCAAATTCCAGCTGAGCCTGCGCTACACAGTGAGATCCAGTTTCAAAAAGGGGTGGATGGCTAGGTGACTCAGTAGTTAAGAGGACCCAGTTTGGTTCCCTACACCCACAGCAGGCGGCTCACAAACAACTGTAACTCCAGCTCCAGGGGATCTGATTCCCTCTCTAGCTTCCATAGGTACCTACTCACACTCACTCCCCTTCCTCACAATATAAAATAAATACAGCAGGTTGTGGTGGTGCACGCCTTTAATTCTAGCATCCAGAAGGCAGAGGCAAGTGGCTCTCTATGAGTTCCAGGCTAACCTCATCTACATACTGAATTCCAGGCTAGCCAAAGCTTTATAGTGAGACTCTGTCTTTAAAAAAATCATTGATATTGTTCCTGCTCATATCCTTTTCCCAGGGCTTACAAATTACAAATCTATAAGCTCCTAGAAAAGTAACTAGCCCATATAGCAGATGAGTAGCTATTCAATATGTGCTGAATTAATAAGGAGTTGGAGATGTAAAAGGGCAAGTCTTTTTCATCATATTTCTGTCTTCTTTTCCATGTCTAAGGTAACATTTTTGTGAGTAGTAAGTAATTAAAATACTTTAACTAGTTTATTGACTGATGTAATAACCATCAACTAAATACACTACTGATTAAATATTAAGCTAAATCTGTTAGGCACAGGTTAAACTAGAAGCTCTTATAGCAGCAAAAGAAAAAGCCTACTGTACTTTGCACATGTATCTATCTGCAAACTGTACAAAAGAACTACTGCAGGGCTTAGAAAAGTGCTAAGAATGCTCCCTTGAGTACGGTGCAAACAATATCTGCAACTGGAAAGAGGTTCCAGGTCATCCAAACTGGTTTAGGAAAGTCCCAGTGACTAAATGTCTTATTTGTGTTTTGGAAATGTGCCTTCAATGGTGTCTGAGTTCACAAGGGAAGTTGATTTCTGAACTGATAATCTGCCTGCTAGAGGAAAACTGATATCCAGTGGAAGAGAACCAGCCAGGCTAGCAGCTTTTTTGCCTTCTTTTGTTCACCTCTTCCACTGTGCGTAAGAAGATATGTCAATGGTGTCTTTTGTTTGTAGCTCTTCCAAACCCTTCATAAATAGAAGGCAAGGTGAGAATAGACTGAAAAGAAGGGAAGACAAAAATCTCAAAACACCTATCCTCGAAGGCCACAGAACACAAGCATACTATTAAAAATAGAATGAAGGTGTAGTAGGAACCAGGGATCTGTATGGGAGAAAGGGAGTGCAGCCCCCAGGCCATCTGGGCCCTGGGGTTCATCTGAACTGTTTGGTGACAGCAAAGCATGTGACTTTCGAGGGCAGCAAATACCTGCAATGATGACTGAGTCGGTCCGGGCTGGGCCAAATTTCAGGGTCATCTCATGCTTGTGTTTATGAACTGCCAGGTGGTCCTCGTTTGTAAATCTCTGAAATGAAACAGAAATGGAGATGTGAAAAAGGGAAGGGGGAAAACAACAGAACAAACCAACCCCTCCTGCATTCAGTGCTCTTTCCAAAGGGCCTGCCAAACAGAAACATGTTACAGAGACACTGGTCCTGCAAAGAGCGAATGGAAAAAGACAGAAAGAGGAAAGATGATGGAATGATAGAAGAGATGAAAAATAATGGCACTGAAGGCAGGGAAGAGAGGAGAGAGAGATCCCAGTATCAACTGCTTTCTCTCCTCAGGCACAAACAAGGAGAGTGGACAGATTGTTGGTGAGGTACAGTCTAAGTATGAAAAAACATTAAGGTAAACTTGTGAACAAGGGCAAAAAAATTTTAATAATAACAATAAAGAGAGAAGAAGAGAAAGACTGGGAACTCAGTGGTCATCACAAAAAACAGGAAATTTCAGAACGAAGCTCTCTGTGGTAGAGCTGAATTGTAGTATTTTATGAGGGGACTAACAGGGAGATAAATTATGCAGGATTAGGAGAACCATTTAACTTCCTGGCCCCCACAGTGCTGCAGCGGGCGCCTTTGCGGCTATTTGGCTCACAGTTTTAATGAGCCAGGACGGAACTGTAGATGACAGAGGCCCAATGGCCAGCAATAATGGCACACACCAGCCCCATTGGCCAAATGCTGTCTTCCTTCATCAGGCAGTCTGCCTGGGCTCCAGAAGCCATAAAGGGGCCAGTACAATGCTGCTGGCTGTATAATGACAAAATAAAAGTGCAAGCAAAAAAGAAAAAAAAAATAAGGGTAGAGAGGAGCCTGTAGGCAGGATGGAAAAAAAGGAGACATTATACCGATTTTTGTGTAGAGGTTTCAGTGACAGAACAATGAAGAGGTAAGACAAAGTCTACCCCGTTTATGACTAAGGCAAGGTTACTGGACAATAATTTATGGTGCTACTCTTTTAAAGGAAGAGGTAAAAGGAACAGATGAACAGCAGTAATTCAAAGGCCCTTTGAGGCCACTGGCCGTTCTTTCATTAGAACATCCGTGCCACAGAAACCGCCTGGACGCTGCAGGTTTCCACAGCCCCTTAGCAGAAAGGCTCTGAAACATGGTTCTAGTTGTCTTGTTTCTAAAAATAGTGACTGCTTAGTCTCTTGTTTTTACTTTTTTCATTAGATACATAACGTACCACTAAACAGCACACCTATAGCCCTTTACAAACACAAAGGAGTCGGTCCCATCCTAGCTCCCATATGGTCAGGTAACAACATCAAACTGGTCTTGGCTTCCTCATTTTACCCAAATTTTAAAGCTTTTTAAAATGTGTGTGTGTGTGTGTGTGTGTGTGTGTGTGTGTGTGTGTGTGTGTGTGTACCTAAATCCAGCATTAACAACTAAGATCCTTTTCCAGGTAAAGCATATCAGCCTAAGGAGCATGATTCAAGTAAAAGAGACCCAGGACAAAATGGACATAGAAAGTCCCCTAAAGAAGCTCTGTGCATCAGCTTTTTCAATTATAGATTTGCCCCTAAGGGATAGGGTAGGAGAGGAATAGTTTGTTAACTGGGTTAAAAAAGTCACTGTAAGGATCTGGGCCTGCCACGTATTTGAAAAAGGGAATCAGTCAAATCTAGTTGGCAATAGAGAAAACAGCATTCTTTTATGGTGGGTATGAAGAATAACATTAAATAGGCTTGTAGGTAGAAATAATGTTATACTATAATAATCATTTAAAAAGTATTTTTATAAGCTGGGTGTGGTAGTGCACGCCTTTGATCATAACACTCAGGAGGCAATAAAGGCATACAAACAAAACATTCTTCTGTGTACAGTGTGGATATGAAGTATCCCCCAGCAGGCTCATGAATGCAGTGAAGGGAGAGGCTCTGGCTTAATCAGTGAATTAACCCACTGATAGATTCATAATTTGATGACATTTCTGAGAAGTGGCTGAAACTTCCAGCAGTAAGGTATCACTGGAGAAAGGAGGCATGTTACTGGACTTTTTATCACGTCACACACTTCTCCGTCCTTCTGTCTCCCAGCCACGGTTGAGGTGAGCAGCTCTACTCTATGGTGCCCTCTACTATGTCTTCTCGGCCATGATTCTCGGCCTCACTGCAGAACCACAGTGAAGAGATCAGCTGACCAAGGACGGGAAACTCTGACACTGCAGGCCAAAACAGATGCCACTGCTCTGATGAAAACCCTTAACTCACATACTCTGAGAGACAGACGCCACTGCTCTGATGAAAACACTCAACTCACATACTCTGAGAGACAGACGCCACTGCTCTGATGAAAACACTCAACTCACATACTCCGAGAGACAGATGCCACTGCTCTGATAAAAACACTCAACTTACATACTCCGAGAGACGGTTTGTCATCTTCACCAAACTACTGAAAGAGTAACAAACAAACAAACAAACAAACAAATAAACAAAAACCAAACAAAGCAAAACCCTGACAAAATATAGTACACTTCAGGAAAAGCAATCTATGGGGTTAATTTTAAGAAGCAGAACTAGCTTGATGTTGACTCTGATTACCTACCTTCTTTTTTGTTTGTTTGTTTTTTTAAGACAGGGTTTCATCGTGTAGTTTTGGTGCCTGTCCTGGATCTCGCTCTGTAAACCAGGCTGGCCTCAAACTCACAGAAATTCACCTGGCTCTGCTTCCCAAGTGCTGGGACTAAAGGCGTGCGCCGCCGCGCCGCCACCGCCACCACCACCCGGCTGATTAACCTACCTTCTGCTGTTTCTGATACAGTTCTTGTCAATTATGGTAAAGGCAGGAGCAGCAGCTGACTGAAGCTTCTTGAAAGTGAGTGTCAATCTGGCTATTGTTTTACTTTATTTATTTATTTTTTGAGACAGGTTCTTACTGTGTACTTCTGGCTGCTCTGGAACTTGTGATGAGACCAGCTGGTCTCCATCTCTTGGAGATCTGCTCACCTTTGCCTCCCCAGTGCTGGGATTAAAGGCGTGTGCCACCGCTGCCTGGCCTGGATATTGTTTTAAATATTCTTTAGCTGAGCACAGTGGTATATGCCTTTAATCCCAGCACCTGGGAATCAAAGGAGGACAGATCTCTGTCTGAAGCCAGCCTGGTTTATTTATCGAGTTCCAGGCCAGCTAGGGCTGCACAGTGAGACCCAGTCTCCACCATCACGGTTCTTTTATTTTCTCTCATTTCTAATTACTTAATTTTTACACATATGGGTATTTTGCCTCCATGTATGTCTGTGCATCATATGTATGGGTGATGCCTGCAGAGGCCAGAAAATGACATTACATGCCCTGGGACTGAAATTACAGATGGTTGTAAACTGCCATCTGAGTTCTGGGAACTGAACCTGAATCCTTTGCAAGAGCAGCCACTGCTCTTAACCATTGAGCCATCTCTCCAGGCCCTCTCACTTTTCCAAAAAGTTTAAATGTTTCTATTTTATGTGTGTAAGTGATTGGCTGCATGTGTGTGTGTGTGTGTGTGTGTGTGTCTGTGTGTGACCTGTGTCTCTGGTGCTCCTGGGGGTCAGAAGAAGGCTTCTCTGAAACTGGAGTTAGAGATGGCTGTGAACTGCCACATGGGGGGTGGGAATGGAAATCCTCTGCAAGAGCAGCCAGTGTTCTTAACCACTGAAACTTCTCTCTAGCTCTATTTCCTTTCATTTATTACAAGTTAATACTTTAACAATTCTTTAAACCACAGGCTACAGGATATAGCTTGTGGTAGAGTATTTGTCTAGAATGCATGAATCCTTGGGTTTTCTCCACCAATGAAAAAAAATTTCTAGATCAGTTTGTCAACCAAAGCCCACCCCTGTCCCAGGGACTGAATTCTGAACTTCATACTTAGGAAATAATCTTTCTGAAAGCAATTTCTCAAATAGAATAGTAAAAACTATTGAGTGATTTAAAAATTTTTTGAGATTAATGAAAATGCTGATTATTCCACTGAATTTAAAACAAGTTGACAAGTTCCCTAAAAGATTTTCTTTTAAAATTATTTAAAAATCTACTCCCTATTCCTATTGTTAATACTCTTAGTAGTCTTCCTTTGTTCCTTTGATTAAGGTTTCAGTAAATAGCTACTCAGGAAACACTCTGACTGTAGGATAATTATTTTCAATAAATGTACTATAAGTATCTCCTAGGCAGTAGAGAGCTGATATTGTTCAAAATGGGGTTGGAAGAATTTGAATCATACTGGATTAGGAAGGCAATTTATTTGCTTAGTATATGATCTGTGTGAAAGTATAGACTTAAGTCTTACCTGCTTAAGTAATGAATGAGAGCAGTTTGTTGGTAAAAACAAGGAGGGCATTATATGCTAATTTGCACCCCATCCAGAGACCAAGATCCTTTAGATCTGATATGTACTATGCAATATAATACATGGTTACTGAACACTTGCAGTGTGACTTAATTTCTAATTTTTTTTTTAGAAAGTGTCTCACTGTGTAGCACAGGCTGGCTTCAAATTCCCAAGCCCTTTGCCTCAGAATCTTGAGTGCTGGAACCACAGGTGTATGCTATCACACCTGGCTTTGCAATGTTGTTAATCTGAATCAAATGTGCTGTTATTCAATATGTAATACCACAGTATTGTTTTTTTTTTTTTTTCTTTTTTTGAGACAGGGTTTCTCTGTGTAGCTTTGGCGTCTTTCCTGGAACTCACTCTGCAGCCCATGATTTTTATACTGGTTACATGGGTTCTGGGAAACTCAATTCAGGTCCTTTGCTAGAGCAGTATGTACCCTTAACACCGAGTCACCTCTATAGCCCCTTAATTACATGTTGAAATTATACTCTTTAAAATTTTTTAAGACTATATTTATTCTTATTTTATGTGTATAGGTATTTTGCCTGCATATATGTATGTCTGTGTATCATATGCATGCATTGAGTGCCCTTGGAGGCCAGAAGGCATTGGATCCTCTAGAATGGGAGTTAAAGATGGTTGTAACTGGTTATGAGCTGCCACGGGGGTACTAGGAATTCAACCCTGGTCCTCT